ATGACTTACCCGTTGAATACATGTTATAGTACCAGGTCAAACTAGGACAAAATCAGAAATTTGTCCAAACATGTAAGTCATATATTGCAACATATCAATTACATGTTCCAACAAATCAATTACATGTTGCAATAAATGACTCATCTATTACAACAATTGACTTACATGTTGAATAAGCTTTTGGTTCTGGACATGTATCCAACAAGTGAATCATCTGCTGCAACGGATGACCTACTTGTTGCAATAGATAATTGACTTGTTGGGACAATGATTGTGCATATGATTTTTAACTGTATATAGCCACTCAACTTTACTATACAATCATTATTAAATATTTTTAATAAATTCCTTTAGGTACCAGTAATGGAAGAATCAATAACAATAGTGTTAATTTTGTATAATGATTTTGTGAACTCAATCATTAGCCATTGTGGACTAAATTGTCAACCAAATGATCTTGTCATCAGTTACATGCATAAGTCTTTTGAAAATCAGAGGGTCTTGCCTCTTAAGATAAGAAATCAACTTCGTTTGGGTGCTTATCTGAGTGATGCAACTAGGTCCGTTTTAAGGGTATACGTTGTTGAAAAATCGATAGAGAATGAAAATGTAGAACAAGACCAACAAAATCTGTTAAATGATGAATTGAATGAGATGAACATGAATATTCCAGATGATGAGATTGAACATGATGTGGAGGAGAACCAAACACCTACACCTATTGTTGATATAGGGGGCAGTTCTCAGTTAAAACAGTTGAACAATCTTCAAGATGATGAGACAGGTTTTTACATAGGAATGACATTCAAGAACAAAGAATAATTAGTCACTTCATTGCATATTGCTTGCTTGAAAAAAGATTTCAAACTTGCAAAGGTGACTAATTCGCGTAGTGTGTATTGTTTTAAATGTGCACATCCAGAGTGCAAATAGTGGTTAAGGGTTGTGAAATTCATAAGTTCTGATAGATTTTGTATTAAAATTTATAAAAAGTATCACACATGTGGTTCAAAGCACGTTACGAGTCATAATCCACATGCCACAACAAAAGTCCTTGGTAAATACTTCAAAAATAGCTTTCCTAATGGTAAAGGTCCATCTACAAGAGATATGACCAATCAACTCCGTACAGAATTGGGTTGTAAGGTGAGTTGTTGGAAGATATATAAGGTAGGGAGATTGCAAAGTCTTTGGTTAGGGGAACACATGAGCACTGGTATGGAGTGCTTGATGCATACCGTTATATGCTTGAGTCCGCAAATCCAGGAAGTAAGACGACATTGCAGGTTGATGAAAATGGACAGTTCAAGTACTTTTTTGTAGCCTATGCGGCTTGGATTCAAGATTTTCAACAATTGAGAAAAGTCATAGCCGTTGACGGGACATTCTTGAAGAGCAAGTATGAAGGAGTTTTACTATCGGCGGTGGCGCAAGATGCGGAGAATCATATTTTTTTCGGTGGCTTTTTTGTGTAGTGGATAAAGAATGTGATGCCTCATATCAATATTGTTTTGAACAAAATGAGAAGTTATGTAGATGATACCGATGAATGTTGACACCCAATTTTGACCCTCCCCGATAATAACTAGTTTTTGAGCTTCTTAATTTTCAAACGATTTAGAATAATTAGCTTTGTAAAATTCAAATAGTTTCAAGTTTATTTTAAAGTAATTTCAGTCGGTTTTTATAGTATTTCGAATGATAAACATATTTCATATAATTATATATGTAATTAGTACATTTTATAAATGTTTGAAAAATCATAACAACAGATTTTTACTTTGTTAAAAATAAATATTTTATTAATTTAGTTCTAGTTTGAATTGTGGTTTTAATTTTGGATTAATAAGTTTATAGGTAAATCGATTAGTTTATGGTTAAGTTAATTATTTTATTTCGTTAAGATTAAAAAGCTCATAAACTAATTAGGTTAATTTGTCTTATTTAAATTGCTAGCCGAACTCATCCCAATTAATTCAATTTGACTACATCTCTAATCTCCGATTGGCTATAATTTAAATCATATGGCAAAAACCTAATTTAATTCTCATCAATTTAAGTTGTTTTCACCCTTGACCCATCTTAAATGACCAATCTTTGGACTTGCATTTTGCATTTTCAGCAAACTTCCAGCAGCCCAATTCCTCTCACACCAAAGATCTAACTCCATACGTACAACCAAATAAGGCTCAAAGCCCATCAGCCTTCTTCATTACAAATATCAGAAGTAAGTTCAGCCCATTATGAGGTTTTCATCCTTATTCTATCATTAAGACTCATAACATCTCTCCCTTTTCCTTTCTTAGGTAAAGTTCCAATTTGTTTTCATCCCAATTCAGATTGGTTTCACCATTTTCAGCTAAGTTTTTCCTCTCTCCCTTGCACATTTAAAGCTCCTTCTTGAAAAGCTGAAATTTTCTATTTTTTGTTGACCAAAATCGCTGCAACTATGGAGAAAAAGGACGATTTTGTTGATCTCTCCTTGTCATATTTTGGACTGATCTCAACGTGCTTTTTTTGAAAAAACTCAAACAATTTTTCATTCTTCAATTCCCGCTTAAAAGGTTTTGGCTATGAAGATTCACAGAGATCTTCAGTAGAAAGGGGGAAGAGGAAAAGAAAAAGAAAGGATTTATTTTTTGAGCGAAATACAAAAAAAAAAACGACTTGAGCAAAAGTAGGCGAAATACATACTAAATATATTAAGAAAGTGAAGAGGATAGTAGATTTCTAGTCCAAGTTTTCCTCCGTCCCATTCTGCTGCCAGCGTTCCCTCCACGTTCGATTGGTTTGAGGTTCTGTTCGAGCTCGCTGTTCTTTGCGTGTGTCTCATATTTTGTGTGGGAGAAGCTGCTGCTCTGCTGCTCGTTTGTATCCCTGGTCGCTGCCCGGAAAAGGTAACCTTTTCTCCGATGGATTTTCTCTTCATCTCTTACTCTGTTTTGTTTTGTTAATATTGTAAGATCGTTACCCTGGGGTTGTTCGCTGACTAGTCGTTATTAAGTAGATGATGTTGTTAATATGAGTTATGTATCCTAGCTTGTTTTCATGGATTAGTTATAATATCGTTTTGTGGTTTCTTTGCTAAATTTTATCGAGTGTGGTTGTTTCTGCCTTTCTCTGTTCGAGTGCGTCTAGATGTTCCCCTTTCTGAAACCTTCATTTAAATGCTATTAATCTGTTCTATTTCATGTATGCCGTGTTTAAGTTGTTACTGCTTAATGCTAGTATTCATGTAAGTTTAAGTTCTCTAATAAGATAATACGGTTAATATATATGATATAGTCCCATGCTTGTTCGAACCATGTAGTTTTTTCTATTTCTTGGACATTTTGTTGTCTTACTGTCTCATGTGACGTGTTTAAATCGAGTTTTGTCTTCATGCCATTCGATTTCAGTTGAAAAATGTTCCATTTTTACTTGAATCGGTAGCATCCTTTCCCTATTGTCTGTGACTTCCATTTTGTTCTAAATTTTATTTGCTTTTATTTTTATTATTTTTATTTTTTCACATTTTATTAATTTTCCTACTCACTGTTTCAGTTTGGGTCAAACACTTGACATTAGCCTTGAGTTCTTATGCTTTTATTTGAATACGTGTTTACTTGGTTTGGTATTTTGAGTTAGCTACAATATTTTGAAATTTGTCCTCATCTCATTATTCTAGCAAAAATCACTTAGAGCAGTGTAGTATTGTTGATTTAATAATTGTGGGATATAGCATTTGTAAGTAAGATTTTTGCTCGCTGGCACGTGTTCTAAAAGTGACTATTGCGTAAGTCAATCCACGCCCCCAACTTGAATATGGTGTCTTCTTCATTCCCACTATTTCTTCATAACATTTGTTTAGGATTTTTAATCGTACCGGAGTATAGTTGTATGATCGATTTCCTAGCATGTGATAATGGTTCTGTTCAAAGTGAAATGTTCTTTGTGGTAGTGTGCAAGACTTGAAGTTGTGGCATATCGATTTATTTGTTTTATCTACTTATTAAATCAGCGGGTGGTTTCTTACATTTTGTTTTCTTTTTTTTTACATGTGAAATCTGTCCGAGTTCTCACGGACTCTCTCCTTGCATTTTCCTTTGGGCCATGGAGGCCCAATTCTATTTTTATCCGAGTCCACCGGCCATCAAAAGTCGACGAACAGGTCCCGAAGTTGAGAGGAGCAACCGATTGAGAAAATTTGAAAAAGATTGGGCCTTTGGCCCACTCTCAATTCATAATAGTAGTTTTTTTTTTTTTTTGTTATAATGGGCCTAAGCCCTTGTCATTTTAATTGTTATTGTTGTATTAGTTTAGGACAGGTGAAAGAATTGGGCCTAAGGTCCAAAAGATAGAAAATACTTCTATTATGCTAGAATAGGACAGGCACAAATGACTTAAACGGGCCGAAGGCCCAAAACGAAAATGGGCCCAAATACTGGCCCAGGCGGACAGAAACCAGATATGGGTCCAAACTTCCTTCCCTCTTTACTTTACTGTGTTTGTTTTTGCTTGTTAGTATTTGTCGTTAATCTTAGGGTTGAAAGGTTCAAATCCCCAAAAGACACCATTTTGAATTAATTACTTTAACTAAATTATTCATCTATTGCTTGACTTAAAAATAAATAGATAAAGAAATAATTTTACAAAAATACCTCACCTAGATAATATGTCAACATTTCCTTTTTCTCCCTTAAAATGGTCCTAAATAGTTCAATTTTGCAATTCAAACTAAGTTACAGTTGTTTTAGCCAAATAGTTAATCGTCGGATAACCACATTAGTGGATATTCTAGGTGCTTTTAAAACCTTCCTAGAATGTTAATAGGAACCTCGAACCCCCTCAATAGTTTTCAATAGATTTACTGTTTTAGTCTTTTTGAAAACTAGTAGTTTTCTTGATTTTTTCTCAAAAAATTAAGTGGCGACTCTTAAAATCAATCCAAATATATATATTTTATAAATAAAAACAATGAACTGTGCATAATTTCTGATAGGCATTCAAGTATTCGAAAGATGGTTTCAATTGTGTATCCATCAGCTCATTATGGTTGTTGCATGAGGCACCTTGGAGAAAATATTCGAAATAATTTTCACAATGCAAAGGTCGTATCTCATTTTTATAATGCAGCAAAAGCGTACAATAAAGTTGAGCTCTATGACCATTTCAATCAGATAAGGGATATGGTACCCAAGGCAGCCGAACATCTCGAATCAGTTGGATTTCATAGATGGAGCAGGGTATTTTGTCCGAGAAATAGGTACAATATTATATATTGAGTATCTTGTTTAAGTTTAATATAATTATATATCTTATTAAGTTATTTTTTTATAGGTATAATATTATGACCTCAAACATTGCTGAATCAGTGAATGCATTGTTTGAAGTTGAAAGAGAATTTCCTATCGTCACTTTATTTGATGAAATAAATATGAGATTTGCAAAATTATTTCACGAGAGGCGTATGGAGTTGGTCAACTCACCAAACATACTTGTTCCTTCAATGGAAAAACAAATATCAAAGAATATCAATTTGGGAAATAAGTTATTGGCCCATCAAATAGCCAATTACAAGTTTAGTCTCAACGGTCATGGTGATGTTGCCACGGTCGATCTTCAAAGAAGAACGTGCACATCTAAAGTTTTTGACTTGGACAAAATACCTTGTCCACATGCTATGGCAGCACTTCGATCCCAATATGGTGCATATTTTGGAAATCAGATCTATGAGTACTCGTCTTCATATTATTCGGTGGAAAAATACATAATTGCATATTGTGAGAAAATTAATCCGGTGCCTCCTGAAGATTCTTGAATTGTTCCTTTGGAGATTTCCGAGAGAGAAATACCTCCTCCATATGTTGACCTAAGCAAATCGGGAAGAAGGCGAATGATGAGGAAGCGTGGAGTCGGGGAATCATTTCCAACAAGAAAAAATAAGTGTTCAATATGTAAAAATATTGGACACAAGAGAACAACATGCCCGCTTCGAAATGCTCCATAATTATTGTAATAGTGAAATAACTATTTTGTATTTAGTTATGAATCTGATAATTTTATTTTATTTTGGTTAATTTTGTATGTTCATACTTATTATATAAAATATATTAGTTATGCTCATCCGTTACAACAAACTTTGCATATTTTGCATTAGATGCATTATCTATTGCATTATTTATTGAAATAGATAATTCATCTATTGAAAATAATCAAAAATATATGATCATTTGTTGCAACAATTATAGGAATCAGTTACAACAAATATCTAATATGTATTATTTGTTGCAATAGATGACCCATCCAATGTAAATAATCAAGCATATATGCTCATATGTTGCAATGGATGCTTCATCTGTTGCAATATATGAGCATCAATTGTAACAGATGAACATATATGTTTGATCATTTTCAATCGATTCTATATATATTTGATATGAAATGTTTCATTAACCCATAATTAGTGATAAATTAACTTATTTAATTATAATTACCTTTCAATTAATAAGTTCAATTACATTTTCGATGCATTATAGAGTAATTACATGATCAGCTAACTGTATTCGTCTTAAATAAAGTGATCAATTGATTATTTTGATATGAAATGCTTCATTTACCCATAATTAGTGATAAATAAACTTACAAAATATGGGTAAATATCAGCAATTACAAAATATCAGGTTCTTCACCTTACAAAATATGACTTCAGCAATCCATACCCTCTACAACTTCTGTTGCTCTTCTATGGCTCCTGAAGATGACTCAACATTCCAAGGAAGAGGAGTAGTTACAATTTGTTGTCTCTTTTTCATATTTGATAATATCTTGGAAATTGATTTTCTTGTTCTCTTAATCTTCAATGGTGTGAATGGCTCCGAAATTTTTCTTGATGGAATAACACCTCTCTTAGATATCAATTCCTTAACAACACTAGTACGAGCATCAAGAGACTTCTTCACCAGTAGATATTAACTAAGCAAAAGATGTGGTATGTCCACTAAAAGGGATGAATCCACCATATATACCACCAACATCATCAACATGCTCACCACCACTTTTAGCACCAGCATCACCAATATCAACACCAATATTAACATCAACATCAACATCTAATGCAACATCATTAGTATCACCAGAAACAATAGGTGCTTCCCTTTTGATCGTTGTTGCTCCAGCCAATTCTTTTTTTTTTTATCAAATCCACTGTAGGATCTGATTTTGTGTTAATAATTCCTAGAGTTAAAAAGAATGGCATTTGCAACTCTTGATTTGTGGGGACAAGCCATGGATGTACAATCTATAAACAAAAATAGTTTATATTAAAACTAATCTATAAATTATAATAGATAAAATATTTAATGTAATATTTACCTATATATTTTATTTCTAACAGATGACCCATATGTTGCAACAGATGGGCCATCTATTGGAAGAAAGCAAAACAGTAGCAAATGATCAATTTTTTTTACAACAGATGACTCATATGTTGCAGCAGATAGGTCATCTATGGGAAGTAAGCAAAACAACAACAAACTATTGAGATTTCGTTCAATATATGACCTATTTGTTGCAACAAATAGGTCATATGTTATACCTAAATAAAACAGCAACAAATGATAAAGCTTTCATCCAACAAATGACACATCTATTGCAATAGATCAGCCATCTGTTGGGCAAAAGCAAAACAATAGCAAATTCTTACGTTTTCTTCCAACAGATTACCAATCTATTGCAATAGATGATTATAGAAGAGTCATATATTAGAAGAAAACTAAACGAATGTAAAATAGATAATTAGTTAATTTAAATAAATATGATTCTATAGAAGCCTTACTATATCATGAGGAGGATCGAAGAGATTAATGAAATTTATTTTTGGGTTGTTCTTGGCAGACAATCACCTAAGAATCCTTGATTGAGAAATTTGTTTCGAGTAATCATTGAATTGCTTTCTGAGGTAAGGTATTGCTTCAAATGCCCAAGCCTAAAAATATAAAGATGATGAAAATAAAAATTTAAAATAATTATTCAATAACACAAATAAATAAAATACTAAAATTAGAGGTGAAGTTTACCACGAAAGCCCAAGGAAATCCATATAAATTGTTCATCTTCGGTGATAACTTTGACACCAAATATTCGACAGTCAAGAAATAACTATCATTACCCCATGGGTAATTGTTGAATGCATCCAAATCTTGAGCAAGCACAAACAAACTAAGATCTATGACATTGTTGATATCTTTTACCCATAAAATGGCATGCACAAACCAAACTAAGCACAATCGCTCTTTGTGCTTCTTCAAAACCTTTTTGCTTTGGAGATCTTCTATAAAATCTTTGGCTTTATAACTAGGTCCAATAATAGCCAACAACTCATTTTCATTATTTAGTTTTTCTTTGCCTTTGTTGATTTTGGTGTTGACTGTCTTGACTAGCTTTTTACCTTTCTTGGCAACCTTGACTGATTTAGATATCTTTTTTTCTCTTGGCTTTCTTAAGCATGCAACTTTAGGAAGAGGTTCAGAAGGAGGATGACATCTCAGTCCAGTCACTATGGCAAATTCTTTCATGTCAAAACAAATCGGCATGCCACAGTAGTTTATCCAAATCTCATCCATTTTCTTGTTCTTATCCTCCAAAGCATCATCATCATCTCCCTTATACTTGATCCTGTGCTTGAGAAGATCATACACCATGCTCATTTGAAAACGTGCATTGTTAGCCTCCGGTAGATCAAGAAAGTATCCAAAACAGCTAGACTTAAAGAAATCCTCCAACTTTTCATTCATCAATATCGTTCTAAAAGCATCAAATTTGGCGCCCATGACTGATTTTACAACAAAATCACCTGTCAAATTTGTAGGGTCATCTATAGGCATCTCTACCTGAAACTTGTCAATATTAAAAGTTTTTGACAACATCTTCATCTCCTTCCTCACTTTCAATATCATCTCCTTCATCACTTTCATTTTCATCTCCATCCTCTTCATCTCCTTCCTCACTTTCTTTTTCACCTTCCTCCTCATCTTCTTTATCATTTTTAGTTTCTGCATCATCTCCAACTTCATCATTTATTTCCTTTTCTTCTTCATTTTTATTTTTATCTTCCTCCTCTACAATTTTCATATTTTCATTCTGTTTCTGTACAACAAGTTATTCTAATGGTGTTTGTACTTTAGGTACTTTAGTTGATTTATCAGAGACTGATTCACTTGTTGTTGTTTTTTTGAAGCCATTTTATCTACAAATAGAAAAAATGAAAAAACTTACAATCAATTGTGCATCATTAAAAAAAGATAGCAATAAATTTAATAAATTCAACATAATACAATATTCTACAGATAATTCACTTGTTGCAACAAATAACTCATTTGTTGTAACAAATAGGTTATCTATTGCAACAAGGGAGGCCCTAATGTAGTTAATTTCAAAAGATAAATATAAGATCAACTTTTTATCAGAACTAGGACATTTCATATACTTATATTGTCTAGGCATTACAAGGTTCAACAAAAAAATACATGTTGAATTCTTTACCTACTTTAGCCATAAAATTAAACTAGCACCTCTTCAGTTAAAACCTTGTTTAGAGCAAGAAGACTAACTCCCAAAACTTGCCTTTTTTTTTGTTCTAATAGTGATGTTCAGATCAGCTTGCATGAATCTCAACAAAGTATTCATTACTAAGTTCAATTACTTTGCCTAGTTTATCTATACAGATGAAGCATGACATCAAACTTGCTAATTTATCCAACAGGGAAAAGACACAAAGTAGTAGCCCTTAGTTACACAACCAGATAAATAGTTATGGAAAGCAAAGTTATGATTTTGTATCATATTAGTACAGATTAAGCCAAAAATAGCAGTTGCAATGGAAGATCAGAAATGAATAGAACAAAAATAATCAATCTTTATCATCCCAAAAGAAAAATACAACAAAAACAAAAACAAATGTAAGAATAAGAAAATAGGAATGAACATGAAAGCAGGGACACCTTTTCTTTCTTTCCTTTCTTGAGTGTTCTAACCTCCACCTTCCACCCATCAGGAACCCAATTGGGCAAACCCCTTTTCTTCCCCATCTCACTCACCTAAATTATCAACTAACCCCACTAATCCTCAACAAGTACCCCAAAAACTAAAAAACCAAATAAAAATTAAATCTTGCCAAAAACTGTCCTCAAGCATAGGGTGGGGTTAGTTGATTTGCTCTTCCTGGAACAATCAGTTGGTCCACTTCCTAAAGCATAAACAAGCAAAAGCTTCATTGTCTCAACATGAATCGCACAAAATCTGGGCAGCTCTTGAGGGAAGAGTATATGCAAATTGTAAAACTATTAAAAAAAACAAACTAAAAAGCCCTAATTTTTTTCAAAAAATAAAGCTTTACCTGCAAATTGTTGTTCCTTTTGGATGGTTAGAATAGAAGAATCGAAAGTTCAAAGTACGGCAGTCGGAAATTGAAAGTTGCCGGAGAAATTGATTGTCCCAATCGAAGCAATTTTTAATTTTTGGGAAGTATAAAAAAATTTCTGCAGCAGAGAGAAGAGAACGTTTGATAGAGAGGAAGGGAGTGGAAAGTTTGTTTATTTAGTGGGGGGGATTGTTTTGTATTTTTAAAAAGATTATAAGTTTTAAAAATAGTTAATTGAGTCCACAATTAACTTAATTTAGTATTTAAGTATGTTTGAACTTTTGTTGGTCAATATAGTCATCAATAACTAATTCAAAACTTAAAGGATACCTTTCCTTCAATTTTCTCTACTCTTTCTTTTTCTTTCTTTCTTTCTTGCAACAGCTTGAAACTCATTCCCA